ATATATGAGCTTTGCTTTTAAAAGCGCAGTAGATGATAAACATAAATGTTTCATTTGTTATAAATATTTAATAATTATAAATAATTGGTGAGCAGATTTGAAAGCAAACTGATTCGAGTTGTGTGAAATTAAGGCTAACTTTGTATAATTTTCTAAGCTGTATTCTAGATATTATCTGTGCTCTGTTGTGCTAGAGAGGTGCATGCCTGATTGGTCACAAAAAATATCAGCAGATGGGAACAAACCAAACAATACACTTTTAATAGCTCTATTGGCAATAAAATTAATATGGAGGACTTCCTTGTGGATACAATAATTTCTGTACCCACCAGTTTTCACTCCACTGTAATTTATTCTTTATGGATTATCTCAGAGATGTTTTTCCAAGAGAATGTGTTTAACAGCACAGCACTAATAGCTAACTGTGATTCAGTGACTTTCACCTATTTTGCTTTCAATTTTTTCTAATTGCCTTTGATCTCCCCGGGGCTTTGAAGCCTAAAAAAAACCCATATAATGCTTATTTAATTACCAGGGCTCTTGCATCTCTGAGAGATCTCATCAAGGACGCTGCTTTCTGGTGCCTGCATTCAGCTGGGGGCTGTCCCCAGATGGTTTTTGGGTGTCCCAGTCCCTTTGCCAATAGGTGCCACTGTTGCTCTGCACGTCTGAGTCCTCAATGTCCTTCACTTGAAAACCAAACCTTGAAAATGCAAATCTAAATCACATTGACTAAAATATTGCCCAGGTAAAACTCCATCCAGACCACGGCCAAGGGCTTGTCCATGCCAGGACTATGGTATACGCTTTATCTGTTCCTAAAAATAATTATAATATTGCTAATCTGGAGCAAAAATGAATTGCATCAAATTAATTCCAGATATATTGAATGGAAGCCTTTAAGCTGCTGCAGGTTTATTGTTGAGCCTCAGACCATGAGCTTTGCACATCTCTGCTCTGGGCCAAATGTGATTTAAATGCAGAAGTTGCATATTGGAGCAATAAGAATTTGGATTTGTACCAGCACTTCTTCCATAGGAGCAAAGCCTCAGGGTGGCCTATCCAGCAGTGAAAAGATTCCCCAGATCTATTTCCTCCAGGTTTGCTCTCTGCTAATGCAAGGTCAGCTAATGTAGTTTGCTTTGCAGCTTATCTGCTGTTAAGTGCTTTCCCTGTGTAAAGCCAAGGGGAATCAAGGTCTGCCTGTTTCCTGCTTGGGGAGGAACCTGGCCTCACCTTGTCCTTGGACATGCAGCTGCTTCCTAAATTAGCTTTATTCTTAGATGTTTCAGACGTACTGTGGAATAAGACAAGGTTTTTTTCTGATTTTTCTTCAAAGAAACACGTAGGAAGCTGTGCAAAAATTAAAAAAAAAATATATATAAAAACAAACCAGAGGGCAAAGCAATTAAGAGTTTTATGTCCTTTCAAGTTCCATCCCAATTGTTTCGTGTTTTGGCTTGGTTGGTGTTTTTTTTTTTCATTGCAACTATTTATTGACTAAAAACTAAGAGATGAAAAATTTGTTTTCAGTGATTCAATATCTGATTCTGAAATAGTCCTGCAGGTCAGGATGTAACCCAGCAGCTTGTTCTAACTGGTCTAAAGCCGTCTGCCTGTATAACCTAATTCTCATTCCTTCTGCATGGAGCAGCTCCCACGAACAACAATCTAAATTAAGCAGTGCTTAAGATCACCCTAAGCAGTTTACACAGGGGCATCCCCGGCTCCTCTGCCTCTCACCAGTTGCCTGATGATTTGCAGATATTCTGCCCCTCTTCAAAATCCAGGTCTCCACCAACATTTTGGGGAGGACATCCCTGGTTGGGAGATCATGAGTTTTAGGTGGTTGTGCCTGCTGACAAGTAGCAAAAGCAGAAATTCTTCTGCTTTCACAGGAAATAGGGAAGATACTGGACATCACTCAACTTCTCTCTAGTGTGGTTTTTCATCAGGTCATCAAGATGGCCATGGAGAATAGGTTATTCTGAGACAAGATTAAATGTAAGGAATTACAGAAATAAATTTTTGGTCCAAGTGTCTTCACTCCACAGTTGTCACATGGAATGTTTGTACTATTTTGACAGCAGATTAAGGGCAAAATGGATCTTTTTGTTCCCAGGGCATGTGTGTCCACCCTCTGGCTGGAAGAGAAAATCACTGTTAGATACAGACAGATGCAGTTATCGATCAGATAATTCAAATTCAGAGCCTCTCTGATAGATATTGGAAAAGTTAGCACAGGTAACTTTTTATTTAAAAATTCAGAAAGATAATAATACTCCACAAATTCTCCTGCTGGTTGTATCCCACAGCTTTCCTTGTTTTTAACTGATATTGGATAGGGGAGAGAAATCTCTTCGTGGACACTCTCCTTCTGTGCTTCCTGTGGTGAATAAGGTATGAATAACATATCCATTTTATTAATCCAAAAAATAAAGTACTGACTGGGTAAGAAAGTAGCCAAAAGTCACCACAAGATCCATTTCCAGAATTTAAATAGAAGGAGGTTCCTGTCTCTAAATCTATATATTGACCAGTGCACCATGTTCCATTTCATTGAATTATCAATGCCAAGAACTACCAAGAATGGGGAACTCTGATTTCTGAGGAATCCAGGCCAACTCCAGCTGCAAAAGGGAGGCAGCACAGCTTGTAGCTGTGTCCACTGCAGTTCTCAGCACACTCTTGATGCTAAATTTTGGCTTCTTGCTCCCTGACAGATGAAAAGTGCTGCGGTGGCAGGCCCCAAAATGAGATGCACATGATGCTGTTGAGCACAGCATTCAGATGGCTTAGTGTGGTTTAGAGCCAGATTGTATTTTTGACACTGATATCACCCACCTTTGTCAGTCTTTGTGTTACTTATAATTTAATCCCTGAAAATATTTGCATTTCAAGTGAGTTTCCACTTAACTTGAGCAACTGCATCTGTATGTCATGAGATGTGATCAGTGTGATTTCAACACTTGCATCATGGATTTGCAGACACATTTAAGAAGGCTGAAAATGAAAAGCTGATTGCCTTGTGCTGCTTAAGGGTTTCATGCAGCAGCATTGCATATCCAACCCTCCAGCTGCCTGTCTAGGCACAGAGTGATAACAATACTTGAGGGTGGAATAATTGGAATACTTGGTGGAAGGGACCTTCTAGCAGAAGATGCTTGTGGGAAAAGTGTTGTAAAAGATCTGGTCCTCATTTAAGTGCAGTTTGTTTATATGAATTGGAGGTGTGCTGATTAAAATAATCCTATTTTACCAGCAAGCTGCTCTTAGAGCCCAGGGAATGCCCTGAAGACACAACAGCCAGTCCCAGGTGGGAGGAACACCCTGGTTTTCCTCCTGTGCCCTGGTCACCCCCAAGGCACAGCCTGGGAAACATCCAGGGAGTCCCAAGCAGTGTGTGCTGGTTGCCTGCCTCAGGAAGGATTCCCACTGGAATCCAACCTCCAGGGGAGCTCTGGTTTGAATGTCACAGAGCTACAGTGCCTTCCTTTACACACACACAGTTGTTTAAGGATATATAAAATAGGATTTAAGTATTAGTCACAGATCATCGTTGCCTGGCATGTTGGCACACACAACCCCACACTGGAATTTTCTGTTCCTCACCTCAAATTTCCCCATTGTGGTTCTCCTTTCTGTTTGGTCTGTGAGCTGGGAAGCAGATGAAGCTGTTCTGTATGAGATGCTGCTGAGTTTGTAAATCTAAGAGAGAAACACAACACTCAGCATTGCTGAGGCAGCCCAGTAACCACAGCAGCTCTGTCCCAAGTGGTTTTTTGAGAAAAAGTTCATGTTCTTTGCCTCAGCTGGTAGAGTCAAGGGGTAAAAGCAGCCACTGTAAAATTTTGGATTGGTTCCTTAGTGTAAATACAAGATACTGCATTGCACTTGAAAAATTATCTGTGCTTTGGTTAATTTGGTTAAATATCTTCACCTGCCATGGGAATTAGCCTCTGAAAAGGATGAATGAACCATTTCTCCCGTTCTCTCCCAGCACTCCCCCATCCTGCTTTGTTCTATTTCTGCTGCAGCAGACTGCAACACATTCTGGCTTTTGGTTCCAGGAAAAAAAAACCTAAAGGAAGCAATTTTAGCAGAGTCAGGAGGATCTGCTTGAACAGCTCTAATATTGAACCTAACTGGCATGTTTTGACAAAGTTAAAAGTCTAATGACAAAATTTTGCTGAGCTCTTAAGCAGGGCATGAAATCTATCGAGCAGCTCTGGTGGCAAAGATGCTCATGTTTCTACAAGCAAATGAGACCAATATCCAGATTATTAAAGATCCTCCAAGTCATAATAAGTATTAAAGTCTGGAAGGATTAGTGAAGTCTCTCTTGCATGATCTTGGTAAATATTACTGTCTATATTGCTGTATAGTTGTGAGTGGTACAGCAGCCTCAAGTGACTGCTCTAAGTGCCATTTTTAATTGGCCAATATTATATCCAATGTGAACCCCTCAATGCAATCTATGTTTGGGCATTGCTTCTGCCTGGCTTAAGGAGAGGAAGGGCAAATCATAAACTGAATGAATTAATACAGGCCAAGAAATATGCTTATCCTTCTCCCTCTTATTACTCTGGTGAGCTGAGGCTGGACTCCAGCTGAGGTTCTCACCTGCTCTGTTTCTGTCCTCACCTTCCTGACCCTCCCCTTCTTTCTCTCCTGATCTTTCCCTTGTCCTCTTCCCCAGTCAGTTTACAACAAGAGCTGTGCTAGAGTATTTGAGTCCAATTTTCCACCAATCCTGCCCATCTTTTTGTGATGCAATCATATTTGTTTGTCCCACCAGCTCTCCCCACCCTGGCTGAGGGAACTGTCCTTCAAGTTATGTGGGTGAAACATTACCCAGTAGTCCAGTGCTAAAACTGGGGCAGAAAGGGACTCCAGTTCTGCCTGGGTGCTGAGGAACACGGGTGATGTTGGCCATGGAACCATTTGTTTGTTGTGCCCAGTGACAGAGAACACGTTTGACACAGCAAAATATTTCCTTATTGTCATCATATTTATTATTTTATAACCCAACAACGTCAGCTGGGTTTTATTCTCACACCACACACACCTGCTAACACACAGCTTCTTTTCACACAGATATATTTTATTTTAAACTGGAACATCCCAGGATGTCCATTCAAAGAACTGTTCTTTACTAACAGAGCTAAAGATAAGGGCTTGCAGCACGGTACAAGCTTGTATAAGGTTTGCATATTCCATGTTCCAACTAACAGCTGGAATGAGGTTCTGATGAGCCTTGTTTATCATTGTTAATGGCTGCCCCTGATTCACTACCCATAACCTGACATTAAATATCCTAAAAAGATATTTACCTATGTTGAGGCATGAACAGACTCATGGAATCTAAGATGTTTACTATAAGCTTTTTAGGAAGTTAACAACCCTGTCCAACCCCCTTTTCCCAGATGGAAATGACAAACCACAATAATCATATAGACTTATGATCCCGTGGAATCCATCCTCGAGGTGGTACCAGGTCACTCGAACCCCGTTGTCCTCCAGCCTCTTTTTGTACAACAAGCCATCGTCCCTCAGCACGTCGTACTCGCAGGTCAGATTCTCCGGATGAAGGATTCTGGCAGCTGGTGAACAACAGAGTCTTCAGCCAACAGAGGGCACAGGTTGGGCTCACAGAATCTCTTCACTGTCTCATAAACTTCAGCTATAAAATCAGTGGGCCTAAGTGGCTTCACACCTCTGACCTTAAATTCCTCAGGGATGTTGTCTGGACTCACCCACTTCCTATACTTCAGCCTCATATCTGGAGGAATATGAGAGCCCTCCAAGACCTCTTGCATGTGCAGTGCATCCCCATTGAGGTACAGCAAAGCAAAGAAAGCAGCACGTTCCCGGAAGAGCAGAGGGACTCCCTGGTTTTGTTGGTAGGATGGCAAATTGAAGTCCAGAGCCTGAAGGCCTGGGTAGATGAGGATCTGAGCACGGAGTCTGGGGAGGTCTGCCCTGCCTGCCAGGGTCTGGCTCACAGCAGCTGCCAGGTTGCCCCCAGCGCTGTCCCCGCAGACAGTGACGCGGGCAGGATCCACGCCGTAGCGCTCCAGGTGCTGCAGGAAGTGCTGTGTGGCGTTCAGACAGTCTTCGTACGCAGCGGGGTATTTGTGCTCAGGGGCTAAACGGTACCTGCGACACGGAGACAAGAGCAAGGAAATGTCAGTAGTAGCAACCAGGAAATGGTCTCGAATGCTGCTCTTCAGCCCTGTCATTCTGGGGTGCTTTGGCTCTAGGTTAAGATCTCCAGTGCCCCCACACAGCTGCTCCCCAGTTTGGGATTGCAGAAAAGCTGTAAATGGTGAGTTCAGTCACAAGGGCTCACTGAAGTAGGATTGTCTCTGATTAATGATCTGAACAAGGAATTGTACAGCTCTTAGTGATGGTGAAAACTTCTGTACTCCTGACAAGATTATTTAACAATTCTGTGCCTCTGCTTCCTATGTGTAAAATGGGAGTGTTACAGTGTGATGATTTTCTTTTCCCATAGCTCGCAGTTGCTTGGAGCATCTTGTTACATGTCCACATGCTCACCTAAGTTTTTAACTGGCTTTTACAGACTTCCTTAGTGTGCCAAACATTTCCATTTGTATCTTTCAGGAGTATCTATGGGCATGAATATTTAAGGGCTGTGGAATCTCCATTATCACTATATTTCTCTTAATGAATTTGACTGAATCCCATAGGAATTCCTGTGCCAAAAAAAGAACATCTCCAACAGCAGTGCAGCTCTGCTGTGGTCCCACAGCAACAATAATGTCCCAACTACAGAAGTGGGTAGTGTTCACTTACTGCACAGACACAACTACTGAGTCACTCTCCCTGGAGAGGTAGCGACACACATTTTCATAGGTATCTGCAAAAGAAATATTGTTGTTAGTGCTTTGCTATTGCCCTCAGCTTTGACACAGCCTAAGGAATGTCCATTCCAGAAAGGCTTCAGACTTCATCCCAAATCACACACTGAAAGCACATCTTATTTTAATCTTCTAAAAAGATGAGAATATTCTTTCAGCGCTACTACAGTTCCTCCAGGAACTTACCAAGGCTTCCAAATACCCAGCCTCCTCCATGAAAGAAGAGGATGCCTCTCCTTGGCCCATCTGAGGTAGCTTTAGGCTGATAAACCCTCACAGGTACTTCATTAAACTGCAGATCCTGGATAAAGAGCTTTGGATCCAACCCTAGTTTCCGTCCCTGTCGCACGTATCGGCCAAAAGTGATTTGGCTGCAAAGCCCAGTCTTCTCCAAAATCCTTCCCTGTTAAAGACATTAAAGCATCTTTAAAAGTCTGGAGTTAGCCAGGGTATAAAAACTCTGCATTGTACTTACATCAAACTTATTTGGGAGAAATTTTAAAGAAACACAGAATTCTGATTTGGAAATAAAACAATTTTCCCAAATTCTCACATCCTGCAGTCTGTAGAAAAATTTACTTGCACTACTCAAATCCAATGTCATCGTAACATCACATCAGAAATGTTATAAAGATCAGCCAAACTGGTTGTCTTGAAGTACATATTTAAATCATCAGCACTGTCCTGCATTTCTACTTGATAACAACAACAAAATACCGTATGTGGAGACAGTTCTTCATTGCTGAAACTAGTATTCATGAGTTAGACCATAAAACTCAGTGAATCTGCAAATCTAAAGTGCCATGCTGTGCAAGTTAGTTACAGCTTTTAATTCTCACAACAGATCTACTGAGCAAAATGAAGTTGCTTCCTTTCCCAATGCCCTTGCAAGCTAGAATATAAATTTGATGTAATAAGTGAACAAACAAGAAACTGGGACTCAAATAGTTACCATTCACTGGCTGTGGCTGAACAAGATCCCTCTTTTTAATGCCCAGTGAGTCACCTGCTAGTGGGATTCAGGATTGCTGGGCAGCTTTGTCAGTAAATTTAATTTAAAGAGGATGTAAATGGTTTAAGAATCTGTGTAAGGAAAACAAAGTCTGTGTGATAGTAGTGGTGATGTCTGTGGCTAAAGGAGTGACAAAACTGAAGATTTTAAGAAATTCAAAGACAGTAAGTAACAGAGGCAGAGCTGAGGAGGGCTCTAATGCCGTTTATGCAACGCTGCCACAGGGAGCCCAGGGATTAAGTAAAGGAGCCCTAACCGGATTGTGTGCCATAATTGTCAGCCGCAGCAGGAGCAGCTGCAGCTTTCCTTGTGCAAGGTGATTTCGCCTGGAGGTGCGGGCACTCACCAGGCAGAACAGCAGCCCAGCCCGGAACCCGGGACTGCCACCAGCCGGCCGCAATCTCCGCTAGCTAGAACGAACCAGCACGTTCCCGAAGCGGGAACGGGGTTTGCCCGCGACATGGGCGCTGCTCCCCGCAGCTGCCCGGCCGGGGGTGCCCGGGGCAGTGTCCGCACCACGGTGTCCGGCACAGCATCCTCGACCGGGGGGTATCGGGGGCAGAACCCGACCGGGGGTGCTCCCCGCATCTCCTCCCCGTGCTGCGGCACCGGCAGCATCCCGCGGGGACAGCGGGGACAGCGCGGAGCCGGCTCCCCGTGTTTGCCGCCCCCCAGCCCGCGGGTCCCCCCGAACGCCGCCTCGCCCCGCACTCACCAGCGCGGCGGTGCCGAGCAGCACGGTCAGCACCAGGCGCAGCTTGGC